AGTAAATGAAAAATAATGTTACTCTATATTAAAGCGCCAAATTATACACGTCAGGATTGAGCACTCAAAAGTCCAAATGAGGGAGGAAAGTGCCGCGGGGGGCTGCCGCCCATGGGGAGGTTAGCCAGGACGCTGGGACGAAACGCACACGCTGGGGAAGATGATGTGTTTGCTTCTTGCTGCTTGAGAAATGGTACAGTCTGTACTTGACCCTGTACAGGCGATTCTTATTTTATTTTTCCACAATGGATTCCTGAGAGTCAGGATGAGGATTAAAATATATCTTACATATATGTGTGTGTGTGTGTGTGTGTGTATATATATATATATATTTTTCCATTGGAATTTGGGTAATTTCTTGGTTAGACACTATAGAATAAATGTACAATTCCCTAACTACCCAAGGGCGTTAAAAAGAGAGCAAGGATGTTCTGCTTCACCCTGCAGGTCAGTCCCAGGCCCCTGAGTGGCAATGTTTGATTTATAGCTGGAGCCTCCAAAGAGGCCCAGGGGAGCCCTTGTTCCTGTCTCAACTCTTATGCCACACTTTATAGCTTTTCTCCCGGGCTGTTGGAGGTACACTTGGCCATCAGGCAAGGAGGAGGAAACCAGGAAGCAGAAGAAAGTCAGTGAGCATTGGACAGTCCTGGGTTCGAATCCTACCTCTATGTTTACTGTGTGTTCTTGGACAAGTCATGAAACTCTTTGAGCTTTGGTTTACCTCTCTGCAAAGTGAAGGTGACATGAATAATCAGAAAGAGGCCAATAAATGCGAGCTTTGCTGTTGCTATTGTTACCCTAATCGAGTAGCAGGTTGAGGTTCCTACAAGGGTATTAATTAGTTCAACCCAAGAAGACTCTGCAGTTCTCTACACTTCAGATGAGGCTGTAGAATAGGTAAGTGCCCGCAGAGGCTCGGTCTAGAACTGGCTTTTCTTGTAAACCACCTTGTACTAGGCTTTATGGGAAATAATTACACACATTTATTTAATTCTGACAGCCTTCCTATGAGAAGGATATTATGTCCACGTTTTATAGATACAGAAGTGGGGCACATCTTAAAAGAGTGGGTGAGTTGGGGGTTTGAACCCAGCATTCTGCCCTCTCAAACTACTCTTCCCCACCCTGGCTTCCCCCTCAAGGACTGGGCAGCATTTGCCCTGGAGCTGTCCGTCTATGTGTCCACCACTGGCCTCATAGGCAGAATCTTGTCCTGGTCATTGGTTTATTCCCTGGATTAGCACAGTGCTTGCCACGGAACCAGAGCTCTCTAGATACACGCCAATGCATGAGTGAGGCTCAGAGACGGTGGGACCTTGGACTGCTCTGCCTCCATTTCTTCCTTCATAACGTGGTTGATTTAACCCCTACCTCATAGGGCTGTTTGTGAGAATAAAGTAAAATAATGTCAGTGAACTGTTTGCTACAAGGCCTGGCGCATTTTGCTATTATAATTGGCGTGACTGCCGGTTCACTATTATATTTCCATTGTTAAATGGAGTCTGGTGCATAGTAAAAGCACGACCAATATTTGTTGGAGGATGAAAGGAATGCAAGGAGGGAAGCAAAGAAGGAAGAAAAGAAGAAAAAAATGGAAGGAAGGCAGGCAGGCAGGCTTATTTAATGGAAGAAAGAATGGTTGATGCCTCTTCCAGACATTAATTAGTCCAGTCTGTTTGGCTCCTCCTAGACTGCCATATAGTCTGTGCTGTTAGTGTTGCCTGATTTAGCAAATAAAAATACAGGATGCCCAGTTAAGCTTGAATCTTCAATAAACAGTGAATACTTTTTAAATATAAGTATGGCCCATGTGATGGCTGGGCCATACTTATACTAAAAAGAAATTTGTTATTTATCTGAAATGCAAATTTAACTGGACATCCATCCTGTATTTTATCTGGCAACCTTACATGCTTTTCACCCTGAACATGTGTTTTTATCAAGCCATCCACAACAGAAGTGGCAGCTCATTGGACTAGAATACATTCCTGCCAACCACTTCAAGGCTAGGTGTGCTGTTAAACTTGTACACTGTATTACACGGTAATGACTATAATTTCAAGCCCTTATGCATTTTAGACTCATTGATTTGCTCTCTGTTTAATTTCTATTATTCAAGTGCATGTGGCTTTTAAAGACATACACAAAATACATACTGAAATTGTTTTAGATTTCTTATGTCCTAAAATAGGGATGCACATTTAATATTTTCTAATGAATTTTTAATGAAAAGTTGCATTTAATATTTGGCAGAGCATTTTGCAGGATTTAAGATATATCCAAGAAAGGAAAGAAAATCCAGGTCAAAATTTTCATCTTTCAGAAAACAGATAGGGTAAAACTCCCAAATTTTCCATAAAATGTTGACTATGCGTTCCAAAACATCATGTCATTTTGCACAATTTGTGCTATCATGCATACCAACTAAGATTAGAGTTCCAGATAACAATGATGTCATTTTGTGACCAGTTAAAAACATAATGTGCATAATTCTAAGCAGTGGGTAAGGTATTGCATAAATGTTCTAAAACAGGAGGCATTCTTTGTTGGGTGACCAAATCCCCAACAAGCCAGCTTTGTACAGATGGGGGAACCATTTGAGCTGATTGGAATATATTTAGTATTAATGCAAACACGCCCAGTCCATGCACCATCTTTCCTACATGTACAACATACATTGCTTTGAGTGAGTCTCAAACACTCAAACCTGTTTTTCTGTAATCTTCTCAGACTCACAGCCTACAGATGAATGTATACGGATGGAGCTTCAGTTTTGCATAATAACACTGCTTTGAAAGTCCAAATCGGAAATATTTATTCTGTGGAAATGCAGGGAGATGCAAAAACAGCTATCTTATCTATGTATTTAATAGATTTGGAAGCACCTGTTGTGTATGTTTTTCCAAATTATTAGTTTACTTTTGCATTTCTAAAACAGATATCATACATTTCAGATTTTGACTGAGGATGGATGCAAGCTTTCTTTTCTCTTCCCTCTCCCTGTTTATATATCTCATGTTTAGGCAGTGATATTAATTTTTAAAAAAATGTTATAAACCTAACAGGTGGAAAATTGGTCTTTATTGTAGCACAAATAAACATTACCTATTAGTCCTCTTCAACATGGGTTGGACCCATCACTATTGGATTTGAAACATCTTTCTTCTCTCTAGATATTCTGTGTATGTCCACCTTTTTTTTTTTTAAAGGACCAGAAAAGCATAATGGCAAGTTATATAAAATGTTATTTAAAATGTTATACAGCACACAGATTGGATACCGCAAAGCCCCGAGCTCATATATGGATTCAATGGATGCATTTCGGCTTTTCTTTCAATAGCGTGAGCTAAACAAATCATGCTTGGAAAGCAAGAGATGAATCTGCCAGTAACACATTTAATTATCATGATAACAACATGCAAACAAAAAAGATAGTCTTCATTTGGGCCCAGACAGCCATTACAGTGATAGGTTGGTTCCCGCTATAAGAAGCTTAGATCTTCTCATGGAGGGAAAAGTCCCAGATCAGAAACTTTAATCTTTTATTTCATTTTGGCCATCCTCACACTCAGTAAATCTCTCTACCCGACGCGGGGTGCACCCAAAGCCATGCCATACAAATACCCCTCTCCACCTGGCACCTCCCTGGTGTCCCACCTTTGTAGCTTGTTCCAAAAGTCTCTTATTTAAAGACAAATGCTCTGACAATAGGGAGTGGTGAGGGCTTCTATCTTACGCTGTCTTTAGCTTTTCAGATCTTATTGTGAATTAGTTAATTGAGAGCAAATCTGTAACTTAGCATGACCTCAAGTGGACTGGTCAGTGCAGGAGGTTGAGTTCAGGTTGGGCCCCTGTCTTAGGGTGTGGTCCGAGGTAAAGGACAACCTGAATGTGTGTGAGGTCTCTTAGTGTGTGGGGGTATCTTGTTGGAAGGAAGAGAAAAGGAATTAGAGTAAATACAAAAAGGGAGATGAAAGAGATTTGTTAAGACCCAGCCTGGCTTGTTCTCAGCATTTGAAAATGGCTGGTGGGACTAATCTGCCAAGGTCATTGACCGTGGTCTGTGTCCTCATGGACGCCTTGGGCATCCATGGCCATATGAGGCCTGGAACTTCTATGATACATGGTGGAAATTACCTTGAAGCGGTGAGACCCCATGCACGTCGTACATGCACCTGTGTGACGGGTGTACAAAAAGCCGTTTGTTTGCATAAAATAAAATCTCAAAGGCATGCATTGCATCTATCTTTGTTAAAGGTAGACTCTGATATTAGTCTATCCTCAAGAAAAGTGAACAAAAATGAGAGAAGAAAATACGCTTCTTCTCTTTCCATCTCAGCGTTCTGCAGAGCAGCGTGGCTTGCGGCCATCCCATGAAGGGTACGGGCTCTTTCATGGGAAACTTAATGCAGGAAAGAAGCAAAAGGAAGGGGGTGCAAGGTGGCAACTGCTAAAAGCAAGCTGCAAAAAGCATTGATTACAAGTAACAATCATAAAGACCACTTTAAGCTATTCGTGAGCTGATTAAGAAATCTCTGTAGAGGGAGCGCTTCTAGCAACTGTCCCATCTTTATTCTGTCGCTCACCTTTTCATCACTTTGTAAGTCATTAGCGTTGCTATGGGCAGGTGGGTGGTGAAATGGAATGGTGAGAGAAGTTAGTACTTATTAATGAAAATGAGGGGCGCGCTGGGTGGACGCTGGGGGTTGCCTTGGGTAACCCAGGGGACCACGGATAGTGAAGGCCTAGAAGAAACAGTAATCTGTGAACGTCATCTCTAAACCCGTGTCCTTCTAGTCCTCGACTCTAAACTGGAGGACCTGAGAGATGGTTAGGGCTTACTTCTCATGTTCTGATCTTTCATAAAAATAAGCCCTACTCCAGCAAGCTACTCTCCTGCTTGGCACCGGGAGACGTTCGCTGCCTCTAAGCAGACCCGTCTCCCCTCCAGAAGCTCCGCCCACGGCCACTGTCACAACCGCCTGGCAGCAAACCCATACCTGCGGAGCTATTCTTCATCCACGTCTGTTACAAACTGTGAATGGTGTTCGGGTGACTTGCTGTGCGTTTTGCTTAGGTGGAGTTTTACCGCGTGTTTGCTCACAAATGTCCGACAGCACAACTTACACTTGAATTTAGAGTCTGTGTCCTCTTCGCCAGCTATTGTTTCCGGAGACCTCTGAGCCGACGATACCCGGGAGATCTCTTGCTCCACCTTGCTTTGCTGATCCACTGCCAGGCGGGTCATATCCTTCATTTGGAAACCCAGGTGAGATTCCAAGTGGCTGATGTAGGTAGAAGGGGTTCTGAACTGGGAGGCGCAGTCACTGCAATAAAAGATAGGGTGGCCTTTGTCCATGTTTTTCAGAAACTTCGTCCCGCCCGTTTTCCTAAGCTGGTACTTGACGTTTGCCAGCCAGTGGCTGATGGTGGTCATGGAAAGTCCCGTAAACTTCGAGATTTGCATGCGCTCTTGCGGGCCCAGATCGGACAGCAGGTACTTGCCCTCCGAGGTCTGGAAGAGGCTGGAGGCGAACTGAGCCTGCAGAATCAGAAGATGCTGAGGGTTCCAGTTGGACTGCCGGCCCTTTCTTTTATGCAACGTGGAGACCTCGCTGGAGACGTCCTCGAAGCGCCTGACATCCATCTCCAGCTTCACGGGAGGGACCCTGGAGGACGCGGCGGGCTTTGGGGTGGTGGCTTTGGGGAGGACCTTGACCATGTCGGCGATGTCGGACAGAGCGTGCTTCTGAGGCGGGGACGTGCAGGACTGTGCTTGGGAGGACTCGGCTTTCTTGCTTTTGGACTTGGTCAGGTCGATGGGCTGGTCGTTGTTCTCAAACAGGTAGCGCCTGGACACGCCGGCCGGCCTGGTGGAGGCGGGACTCAGCCCCGGCTTGTCCATGACGCCGAGACTGGACTTGTGAAACATGGAAATTGTGCTTGAGCTCGGGCTGGAGCAGGAAGGCGCGCGCAAGGGTTCCGTGGCTTTGCCCAGGTGATTGTTCAGGACGGACTGCAGGGCGCTGAGCGGGTTGATGCACGGGAGGCCCGCGGGGTGGCCGGCCAGGGCGCATCCGTTGCTAAGAGAAGACGTGGGCTCCAGGGCCTGGGGCTTCTCTTTCTCTCCACACTCTTGCATCAGCTTGTCCTCCTCCTTCAGGGGACACGGCTCAGGCTTTTTGGATTCTGGGGGCGTTTCGCCCTTGGAGAAAGAGTCCCCCTCACCGTGGCTGAAAGACGAGGCCTCTTCGTGGGGACTTCCCTTCCTACCCTCCTTCCCGGCTTCCTCTTTGTCTTCCGACTCCTTCTTGACCTGCGTGTACGGGGCCAGGTTTGTGGGCACGGGGACGAGCGGCATGACCTTCCACTTGGGCGCGATCGGCCTCAGCTTGTGGGTGAGGTTAGGGCGGATCTGCAGGACCTGGGACCCCACGGGCAGAGGCGGCTTGGCGCCCTCCGACAGCTGGTAGGCCGCGTGGATGCTGGGGTAGGCGCTCCAGCTCGGAGCCCCGTTTTGGGCCTTGTTGATGGCCGTGGTGACTGTATTTTCCAGAGATTTCAGAATGTCCCCTCCACCCTTGGAGCCGTCTTCCAAATCCTCCTCCCTCAGATACTGGTATTTTATCGCGGGGTCTAGAGGCTTTTGCAGAGGATCTTCGTAGTCCTCGCTCTTTACGACTTTCTCGTCCTTGCCGGCTTCCTCTGCCCTTTCTTTTTTGCTCTCTCTCTTCACCTCGGTCGTGGAGGCCGCGCAGTCGGACGCCGAGTTGCTCGACGGCTTGGGGGCCAGGGAGTCGCTGCTGGGGGCCTCCGACAAGGACTGCATCTTCTCCACCGCCAGCGGGTCCAGCACCAGCTGCTTCCCTTTCTTGGAGGCAGAGCTGGTGACCTTGAGAAAGTGGCCCGTGACCATCATGTGGGTGGTGAGCTGCTGCAAGGTGTCGTGCGAGCTCCCACACTCCATGCACTTCAGGATCTGGGACTTGCAGGCCTCGAACTGCCAGGTGTAGCTGGCGCCGTTCTGGTAGCCGTAGCGGTTGTTGGAGCTTGCCTGCAGGCTGGCGCTCTTCGGGCAGGAAAAAGAATCTGCGAACGACCCTGTGGTCGAGTCGGGGGAACACGGCCGGTTGACATCAAAGACGCGTTTCTTTGCCGGGGTGACCATTTTCGAGGAAATGGTTGGCACTGGCTCCTTCAAAGGCACTTTTTGGTAATGTTTAGTTTTGATCATGTGGACGCTCAGATCTTGGAGGGAATCGAAGGAGTCGCCACAAAACATACATTTCAGGACCTTCTGAGCATCCTCCTTGTCCATATCCTGGAAAGCCCTTTTCCGGGGCTTCGAGTAGCTCGTGGGTCTGAGCTTGTCCTTCTTGCGGTTGTCATCTTGATAGTGGCCCGTCTCGTTCATGTGCACGGTCAGCTCGACCAGGGTGTCGTAGGCGGCGCTGCACTGCCGGCAGCGGAACCTGCTGGCGCCCGTGAACACGGTCCCGCACATCTTGCTGCTCTGCCGGTACAGCTGCACCGAGCTGAACAGGCTGGGTTTCGAGACGGACCGGGAGGGCAAGTTCTGCTGCAGGCTCTTGGACAGGGCGTCCTGGTGCCAATCAAAGTCACTCTTGCTGCTGCCGTTGCGGCTGTCACAATTCCGCCTCTCAGCATTGGACAGCTTGAAGCCGAGGCCCAGGCCTGACCAGTAGGAGTCGGACAAGATGTTGGCGTAGACAGCCGTCATTTTATCCATGCAGTTGTGCGCTTCGCCGGCAAGCTTGGGCTGAGCGTTCGCTCTCTTGTCCGGGGCATCTCGGCCACAGATGCTCTTGACGTCCGACACCTGGTCACTGGCGTCGCTCAGCAGAGACTCGTTCTCCCCATCCTGATTGGACAGATGGCTTCCCGGAGAGTTCTGGTAGCTGAAGCAGCCTTTCTGCTCTGGGCCTGTGTCTACCTCCTCATCGGTCCCCGTGTCATTGCCACCCTGAAGCTGAGCTACTGACCCGCTGTCCTCCTCCTCTTCCTCTTCCTCTTTTATTTCCTCCTCTTCTTTCAGCTGTTCCTCCTGGGCATAGCCTGCAAGAAAAGGAGAAGAGTTGAAATAACAACAACAGGTTCCATATTCCATTCCAATTTCCCCACTTACACTAAGTATTTCTCGTGGCGAACGGAACAGCAATTTAATCTACACTTTTATGAACCTCGAGCAACGGAGACAGGGAAAAGCCAAATGATGTCTTTTGTACCATCGACTGCCTTTTTTTTTTTTTGTAATTGGCAGGAGTCATAATTCTTTTCAAATGCCCAGAATCCCAAGTTAATAATTTTCACATTTAAGGAATATCATTCTAATTTTCCTATAATGGGACAGTTGCTAGATTCATGCGTGTAACTTTTAGGAAAGCTGGACCGAAATGTAAATCCTACTAAAGCTGCACCTCTACAGGGAGGAATGCCGGCTGATGAACAAACTAAGACTTGACCTTTGGCATCTCGGTGATAAGCTTTACCAAGAAACTTGAGTGTATTGGCATATAATCATCTAAATCAGTCATTTTTGAGTGCTCAGAAGTAATTTGGATGCACAGCCATTATATTTTTAATAGCAAGTGTCTTTTTTTGCTATAACGTTTTTATTTGTAGAGAATCACACAGCAGGAAGAGAGATTACAGGGTATGCAAATAAAATCTTCCATTGAGAGTTGAAAAATCACGTATGCTTAGCAAATATAATGATTTAAAAATAATAGCAAATGGTGTTAGAATGGGAGATTTGGTGACTATCCTATTATTCTCCAACAGGTTTATGAAGACCTTTCTAGACAAGGCTGAAAATGCCCTCTCGATCTTGTGCCTGTAATTTCAAATGCACCGTGATTTGTGGGTTCCCGTCATGAGATGCCAATTATACGTTTGATTTGTAGATGCGAAATGCTATTGGGGATGCATGCTTTCCCTTCTCCGAGAGGATTTAGGACCAGTAATTGCATAGGGAAAATGAAGACATGAGAGAGTGGATGCAAAGGGAATTAATGGGCAAAAATCCATCAACGAAGATGGGGAATGTGACTATTTATGTCCACGGGCTCATTTTCCTCACCTGGCCTTCCCAGAGCCACGTGGATAAAGTGCAACCAAAGAAGTACCGAGGGAAAGGAGAGCCAGTCTTAGATTTGCAAGGCCTGCGCGATCTCAATGCAATATTTTCCTTATGAGCTTCTGTCTCTCCTCTCAGTGGCAGGTGGCTACTCGGGAAAAACCCTAGGGCAGGTTGTGTTGTTCCCAGTCACCTAGGACGATGCTTGGAAAAGGGACGGTCATGCACTGGGCATCTGTCCTGTGAGGCAGGCAGAGGTGTTAAGAGATGGGGGCTTTGTGAAGAATACGGCAGCTGCTGTAGTCAGGAACTCCAAAACCCACTGTTGCTGCTTTTGAGCACTGACTCTCTCCTAGGAGCTAAGCGAACCACTGCAAACACATTCTTTCATTCCGTCTAATATCCACACGAAGTAGGTACTATTATTATTATGTCGCAGATGGGGAAACTGAGACTTTAAGGTAAAGAAATTCACGCAAGGCCACCCAGCTCGTATTGCAGAGCCGTGACATAAACCCAGGCCTGTCTGATGAGAGAACCCAAGGAAGCTCTCCTCTCTTCCTGTTACTAACCCAATGAATAAGACAACTTTCAGGAGACCCAGAGGTTAAAGGTTAAGCAGTAGAATTTCACTGAAGCATCACTAAATAGACAACTGCCTCGGAGAAAAGAGCCCAGGGCATGATACCATAGAACAAGAGTACAGAAATTGAGTCTAGCCACGAGTTTGATGGTTGCGTTCCTTAATTTATTGTTATCAGTGTGGAGTTTTTGCTTTCCCAGCAGGTTGATGTAGATTTTTCATTAAATTGGCATTGCTGGTCTCTAGGTCCATGAATGGATTTGAAAAAAACAAAAACTACACAATCTAGCCAAATAAATATTAATGAGTGGTCACTACTACTTGCAAGAAAACTGTAAGTTTAAAATAACAAAATTAGACTATTTCTGTTATTATCATCATATTTTTTTTCTGGGTTAATTTGCATGCTTTCAAAAATAGTTATCCCATTAGGTTCATGGAGAAAGTCTATGATATAAAATTAATAAACAAAAGTTGTCACTGGGGCAAGGAAAATACTCCAAAGAATCAGGAAAATTTTGTCAATCAAATAGGGTCCCTTCTGGGAATGAAGAGGGTGCTATTACTCTAAGACATACACTGGGTCGCCAAGCACTAGGCAGGACTGTTCCAGGCTAATGCAGACACACGGCGACCACACCTGTGGGCAATATGATCACAGCGATAAAGTGTGTGTTTGCACGTGCACACATATGCACGCAGAGCAAGTGAAGAAGTCTGGGGCTGGGGGGGAGGGTGCAAAGGGCTTTCTGTCATCTTAATTGGCTGAGGGTGTCGCTGGGTTTTATTCATCTCAGTGTTTTCGGGGCCTAGCACCATGCCTGACACTTAGCAAGAAGTTGGGAAATAATTCATGTTATTTTGTGTGTGTGTTGATGAAATATATATGCATGCGTGCACGCACACACACAGTCTACCCAGCCAATACAGTCATTTTCAAACAAGGAGAAAAGCAGTATTCTTTTTTTTTCCCTGCTGACATTTGGAAGCTGAGTTTTCCGGACCAGCTCAACCTCACAATCCACTTTGTCCTTCTAAATGGATTTCCCAGAAGAAAAATCAGAGACAGCAAACACCTCCCCGACAATACAGATAAAATTTTCTGCTTAATTAGGCATTGACATGTTTACTATAACCTTTACAGAAGAGTAACTCGTGCTGAGAGACCCTTTTTGTCTGCTTCCCTCTGCAGAACAGACTAAATCTCATGCACCCGATAAGGGAACGCATTGAAAAGCCTCATACAAAAAGTGCCAAAGCAGCCGTCAAACTGAGTGTATTTTAACAATGGCTGCGGGTTCCAGGGAGTTTTTAAAAAACACATTTCAATATTATACATTTAAAACTGCTCACTTGACTTAAGTGATTTTGTTTGCCACCGGCGGTGGAGGGAAGGCAGCCGGAATATGGGCGATCTGGGTGCATAATGAGTATCTGTCTCTCTCTCTCCATCGATGATTTGTTTAATAAGATTGCATCATCTGTAAATCTTGGTATAAGTGGATGAGTGGCAAGTTTATTCCTATGAATACTTATGCAACAGAAGAAAACTACCACAATTATGCCAGGGCACAGTAAGAAAGAATTCTTCTCTGTAGACCCTCCTTGTTGATTTTGGGTTGAAGATCCAACTTCACGGTGGCAAAAATTCCCTTTTCCAATCTAAATTTCGAGTTCTAGTCCTTCCCACCGCCTGACTCTGGCCACATGAAACGTTCCCGTTTCCAGGACAACGGATGCACGAGCAAGCCCGGCCAGGTCTCTGACTGAATGGCTGACTCCAGAGACCATTTCTCCTCCACTCCATGCCACCAGCCTAGACGGGGCCACCATATTGTCCACTAGGTTGGACAACAGGCTTCTACTTCCCACGGTCTGCTCTTGAGAGAACTGCTAGAACATTCTTTGTAAAACGGACCAGGTCATGATGTTCCTCTGTGTTAACTCCTGCAACATCTTTCTGTTGGACTTCTAATAAAGTCCCAACCCTTATTAGCATGGGCTAGAAGCACCTGCAGGACTTGGCTGCCCCATCTCCGAGCACTCGCCACCTGCTCTCTGTGCCTCAGAAACTATGAGCGGACTCCTTGCTGCTCCTCGAACCTGCTCATCCTTTTCTTGACTGTGGCTCTCTGCCACCGCAGATTTCTCTGACCAGAAAGTTCTTTCTCTGCGCCATCCCATAGTTGGTTCCTTTGCATCCTTCAGGTCTCAGCTCCAGTGGCCCCTTCTCAGAGGGGCCTTGGTAATCAGTCTCCCCTTCCCCATGTAACTCTTGGCCACATCAACCGACCTACTGAAATCCTGGTAGCACTTACCAGACTCTAAAATTAGCCTGTTTGTTTATCAATTGGTTGTCTCCTCCCACTGAGAGTAAAGTTAAAATATCTACCCCTATGACGACAGAGCACTCAGATTGTATCCTGGCACAGAATAATGTCCACAAATTATTTCAATGAATGAATGAATGATTATACAACGGAAGTGGATTCTTCCAGCCACAAACCCTGGCTCCACTCTTCTGGGGTGCAGGTGGCTCCCTTTATGGGTGCCCATAATAGATCAGCTGTGAACTACAACCATCCTCATCAACTTTACTCAATGATAAAACCGGAATATCGCCATATATCAACTTTGCAGTGAAACCCAGCCCAACAACTTTCTTGTTGCTCAACCTCTCTGAGCTACAGATTTATATTTGTAAGTATGAGGACTGCAAATCAGCAACGAGATCACAAAGCATCAGAACTATGCTCTTAACATTAACAGACTTGGATTCAACAAAGATTCACATGTGGGAACTTTGAAAGTAGGAACTAATTTTGTTATGCATAAAGTCCATGAGCTATTCCATGACACGTGTTACACAAAATATTAGAGTTGTCTCCTAAACACTTGACATTTAAAAAAAAAATTGTTACCGGGGGAAAACCATTATATATGTTGCAAACTTGTTCCCATAATAGTATGCGGGTAAAATTTAGAAATAAACTCTTACATTTTAGAAATGTCCTTTCATATTAAAGGTTAAAGAAAAAAAGAAACAATGGTTTTAAAAAACCTTACCACCTCAATTGTTCCAAAAACCTCTCATCGGAAAGATTTAAATGAAAGTGCAAAATAATTCACAGGTGGTATGATGTGAGATATCAGATTTTTTTTTTTGCCAGGCACACGTTTTTGTAGTTGCCTTGAAAATCCACAGCAGAGTGTTTACAGGTGGAAACGGTGACAGTTTTTAAAATGGCAGAAGAGGTGGAACATTTCTAAATGTTCATTCCAACCTATGAACAATTAAAAACTCAAGGAGGCTGATTTTCAAAAAGTAAACCAGAATTCAACCAAGACCTCGTTTAAAAACATATCCTATGGTGACAGGATCATTTTCACCAATCCACCCCACTAAATGACAGTTTATAATCACACGGAGATGCCCCAGCATGCGAGGCAGCCGCAAATGATAGGATCTCGAGGATTTCTTGCCAGGTACCCAGTAGGCATGCTACGTGACGACTCGGAATAAGGCCTCCCTTGTCAGGACTCGCTAGTGTTTTGGTGACTGTGGTCTAAAAGTCTGTTAATATGTATATTATCATTGGCACTAATTGGCACTCTTGTTGGCAGGCGGAGTAAAGAGATACAGGATTCCGCGTTCAAGGGAGCCGAGTTATTTTCGGTGGTGGCCGGGCCCCAGAGCGCGGCCTCTTGACGGGCTGCACGAGGAATCCGCCTGTGTCTCCTTTCAGGGGGGTGGCCGGCGAGCGGTCTGTGGGAGTCCCGGGCATCATTCCCGAGCACGGACGTCACTTACGGAGGATGCAGGTGCCCCGAGCCAAGACCCGGCGTCCATGCGGGCTGGAGACGTTATGCAAGTTCGTGCACATTTCTAAACAGGCGAATTGTTAGAGGAAAAAATAAAATTCATGGCATTTGGACCTTTACCCCTGCCGTGCCATATATAAAACTTGGTCACTAAGTGTGACTTACGTACACGGATCAAGAGAGAAGGGTGCGCTCCCTCCTCCGTCTGATTGTCACAAGCAAACAGATAGAGCTCGTTGCTTCAAGGACTGCTGCCGCTGCGTTGCGTGCAAAGACAGGGACCTTACCCCGAGCCCGTGAGCGCTCCGTGGAGACAAAGAGGGAGCTTTCTGGAGGTCAAAACCCAAAGCCCATCTCTTTCTAAAGGATTTCCTGAAGACCGTTCAGTTACTCGGAATGTGTCACATGCACGGCGGGTGCGTGTCGGGCCGGGTCTGGGTGGGGACGCATGTGCACCGACGTAGTGCACTCTCGTCCGAGCTGTCCTGGACCGTCAACGTCTAAGCTAGTTGAAGTCACGGGAAGTGGACACTCTTGTCATCGCCTTGCGGCTCATCTGTGTATGCATTTAATCAAGAAATATTTATTCTGCAGCTACCACATGCAAGATACTTGAGTAGCGCTTCATCGGGACTTCCGTCACAGCGGGTCTTCTAAGGCCAAGGAGGGTGGGAAGATGAGTTATGGAGAGAAGCTGGACACTCAGGTTGGGGAGAAAGAGGTCCCGAAGAGGTCACGCATTACTGGAGGAAGGCAGGTGACTTAAGCGGGCGAGGGAGGCCAGGGGAAGAAAATCAGTCCTCGGCTGCAGAGACAGACAACAGCAGACACTGAGCTAGATGGAGTGACATCGTGGGGCTGTGGGCGGCTGGGAAGGTCATGCCACGCCGAAAGCACACCGTCATGGGGTCTAGGGGCACCAGATGTTTTGTTTGGCCAAACCAGGCAGATGAAACCAAATATGCCACAGCCTTGGAACCAGGGAGACTCGGGGGCTGGAGAATCTGGAAAGCTTCTCTGGTTTTGTCTCACGTCAGCTTTTTGACCTTAGCCTCCTCATCTGTCAATCCCAAATAGGAGTGATCCCAAGCCCACCCGTCTAAGGGGTTCTGTCAGGACAGAGGAGGAGTGGAAGAGAAAGTGTATTGCGAGCCCTTCCCTTTTCGGGTGTGGTCCTTGGCGGAATGACAGCATCACCTGGGAGCTTGTTCAAAATGCAGACTCAGCCCCGCCCCAAGACTACGGAATGGGAATCATTTAACAAGGTCCTCAGGGGATTCATATGCTCAAGAAAGTTTGTGAAGCCCTGCTGTAAATTGCAAAGCTGTTAATTAGTTATTTAGCAATCTACTTCTCTATGCCTGTGTTCCTAAGTGTGTGTGGGAACCAGCTTTGTGAGAAGACAATACGATTTTCAGGGTTTCCAGCCCCTTTCTGCTCCAGAGACCAAAAGGCTAAATGCCTGTGGCTCAGATAGTTGTTTCCAGTTTATACTGGGAAACATCGATTGAGAGAGAAATAAATCGCTGATTCAAGGGCTGATCAGTGAATGAACAGATCACATGGCCCTTGGTCCTGGGATTAGGCAGGACCCGGTTCAGACCTGCCACTGACTGCTTAATGTGATATTGGAAAAATTGCTGAAACTTTCAAAGGTGCAACTTCCTCATCTATAAAATGGGAATAATAATAGTATGTACTCCATGAGATTGTTAGGAGTACGGAATATGGTGGAGTATATGAAATACCAAGGTTGTAGGGCTACCTTCCAAATTCTCAGCCCCGTTCCAGGCACTTTCTAAACACTGTGCATCTTGGTCTTCAACCTGAAGCCACAGAACGGCTGAAATCAGTTGACTTTGGCATTCCTTGTTACCCCTAAACCTTACTCCAAGCCAACAGCTTTTAGATGGCATTCACATTAGATAAGAATCAGCTTTGCATGTGTCATGCATGAGAAAAGAGCTTCCTCCAGTTTGGGGTTTGTTATTTAATATTAAATCACTTGCACAAGAAGCCAGCGGTATGTGTGCCGGGAACTTCCGTAGAAGTGATGTGCAAACATCAAATAGCAAGTTATTAGGTCATTACCCATAATGATAATGTCTGCAATCTTCAAGAAATAAAGCAACCCACCATCTGAGGGAAAAAGGTCTTTTTTAGAGGCCTCGGGCTTTGCACTGAGAGAGGTGACTAATGCTCAAAGCAGAAGGTCTCCAAGAAAAATGCTTTATATTCAGCTACCTAGATTTTCAGTCCAGCATGTATTATTATTGGGACATGTCTTGGTGACAATTTAAAAAAGCAGAGTGAGAAAATATTCATGGAGAAGGGTGAGAAGGGGACCGCTTCATAAGCTTTTTGGTAGCTCCAGTTTAGAAATCATTTTCCTTATATTATCCTCACACCCAGAGAGCCATAAATCAGGAACAAAGGAGAAAACAAAGTGAAACAAAACAGGAACAAAGAAACTACACAATAGGACTGAGACTTCCCTATCAAATAAAGATTTTTAAGCTTTGACTTTCCAAGTGGTAGCAACTATTTTTAGCAAAATGTGCATACTTACTTTCTATACATTTTTTTCCACATAAGGATATATAAACACACTCACACATACATAATTCTTTCCAAGACTGCAAAGTTTTTTTTTCTGCCAAGAAAAGGGACAGTGAATCATTGTCCAAAACGACCTTCAGAAAGTATATGAAGCTGGTGCACCATCTGTATTTTTTCAGACATATATTCCAATTTTACTTGAAATAACATCATTAGCACAGCCATCCCACAGAGCTAGAAGGTGATCTTGTTTCCTTCTTGCCTGGCTTGAAGTCAAACATCTTTTCTTTCTTTCTTTTTTTTTTTGGCAAATGCCTCTTCTTTCTCTGAAATATTTCATGCAGATAATGGATCATGACCACTTCTCATTGCCTTTTCTCAAACACGTCTAACTGCATTAGCCAAGAACGGACACATTTTAACCTGCTTCTTTCGCTAAGTTCATGGCTATGACCACTTCCCATTAAGAAGAAAGAAAGAAAGAAAGAAAGAAAGAAAGAAAGAAAGAAAGAAAGAAAGAAAAACAGCCCGCAGTTCCCTCAGAGAAGCTAAATTGGCACTGTCAGAGAGCCGTCTGGCCCTTGCTTTTCTAGTGAAAAGTCTTTGCTGTCTCTAGAAGAATCACAGATGTCTGAGGTGGAAAGACCTTTTATGTCATTGGGCCAATTCCTCAGTCGGGGAAGGGTTTCCTGGCCTTGGTATCCTTCAGTGGCTCAGATATTGAACCTCCAAGTCACCTTCATGCCGGATTCTTCACCAACATGACTGCCGCCACCACACACCTTTCCATCCCTCCCGCTAGGAGTTGAGCCGTGTTTCCACCATGGTACGATCTGTCCAAATCTAAGCATTGGGAGACCTTTCAGTTTAAGCTTTTGTGATATGCTAGTTAATCAACACTCGGTCAAATAAGTAACTGCTCAGCACATATACATATATTCGAACATCTTCAGCTTTGAGGCCACTTCTTCCCTATTTTAAAACATACTAATAGTTAATTTCTATTGAGAGCAAACTTGTAAGTAAGAACCTGTAGGCTACTTTCTTTAGCCGTATCACATTGTTTGACCCCAGCGATAGTGCTACCTATCTTTTCAATTCCATCTTTATAGGTAATGACATCGAGTCACAGAGAATGTTAATTACCTCTCCATCGGCACACCGCTGGTTTCGGTTTTGAACTCCTGACCTTGAGCAATCCGCCCGCCTCGGCCTCCCAAGAGCTAGGATTACAGGCGTGAGCCACAGCGCCCGGCCTGCACACCGCTGAACTTGGACTTGAACCTGGGTCTGTTGGACTTTAGCATCTAGGCTGAATTCGTCCCTTTCCCATGCTCTCTAGATCTAATTCATCAGCCAGAGAGGTCAATTTTTAGGGTCAGCTCCAATGCTCCCCTTCAGAGGGGTCACCCTTGAGCACCGTACCCCTCACTCACTCCTCCCAAATCCCCGACAGCCAAAGTTATTTTCTGTCTCAGTACCCCCGAATCTCCCTTTTGTATAGTCCTTATCTCATTTTGCAATTATTTTATTCCCCTATTTACTCCACTGCCTGTCTTCTCAGTAAGACAATAAGCTCCCTGAGGGCAAGTTGAATCTACCTGGTTCACCACTGTACCCACTGCCATCCATGGCCAACCTTGTTCAACTATTTGTTGGATATATAAATAAATACATGAATGGTTGGATGAGTGAGTGATTGCATCGGCGAAGCATAGTTTTCTATCCCATGAACCTAGACTTTACCCATTGGTCTCAATTTGCTTTCAAGCCACAGAGAACAACAACAACAACAAAATCTGTTTTCACAGAACATTACTTTCGATGGTTGAGGTACCACGCAGGGGCTTAAACTCATCGTGGGGGCTGGTCCCCTTGGGAGGTGGAGGAAGTCAGGTAAAGGTGTGGTGTGAATTCAGGGCCCCTCAGTTCTGAGATTTCTTACACTCTGCTTCTTCTTGTCTCAAACTCTACAATTTAACTTATGTCCATCTGGCTTGAGGCAAGCCAAGAACTCATACCCTATAAAACTGTAAAGGCTTAATCTCTTACCTCACCTTTGCACTTTAGGGTGAATGAGTTGATGAGGTCATTTTCTAGCAGCAGGTTTCTACAGGAGAACATGTGACCCCAGGAGCCAGGTGGGTCACTATGACACCAGGACTCAGTATTGCTTCTCTAGGGGTGATTCTGTCCCTGTCCCCAACCCCAGCCCCTAGGAGACATGTGACAATGTCTGAAGACATTTTTGGTTGTCACAACTAGAAAAGGGGGTGCTGCTAATATCTAGCGGGTAGAGTAGAGGCCAGAGATGTGGCTAGACATCCCACCATGCACAGGACAGCCCCCACTCACAGAATTTTTCAGCCCAATATGTCGGGAGCTTAGAGATGCTGCAAGGTCAAGTTCAGCTGAAGCTTTGGGAATTACAAGGAGGAAGGGTAATATTCAGGCACTGTCCAGTTGTCAGTGAAGCAGGGGGCTGCACAGAGAAAACCCTCTATAATTAAAGGAGAAATAGAGGAGAGAGTGTGTATACCACCCTCACAGTGTTACAGGATTGAAGAGCACAATGTCTGGAAAAAGCCTGCCTGGGTTCAAATCCCACCTCTGCCACATCCCACACTGTCACCTGGAACAAACTAACAACCTCTGTGGGCCTCAGTCTCTCCACCTACAAATTGGAGATAATAATAATAGTACCTGCCTCAAAGATCATTTTGAAAATCAAGTCAGATAACTGGAAAAAACTCAGAATGCCTGGTGCAAACAAGCACTGGACGCATGTCCCCTCCCATTGTGACTGCCAGAACAAAAACCTAGTCTCAAAGAGCAATGTTATGGGGTTGGATTTCTCAGGGTTTTTAGTATTTATTCTTTCAAGTTTGGGCTGAAAAGAAAAATTCATCAGGCTCCTAGCATTATTCTCAATCAATTCCTTCTGGATTCATTTAAATCCCCTTATCAGATTGGGTATTTTTATACTACAAGAGAGAAACAAACAAAAAAATTAATGATAAAAGGGATTAGCATTTCTAAACAACTCCAGTAACTCTGCCAAATAAATCCTGACCTATTTCAGTTCTTAATTAACTAGGTCAGCTTTTAAATGAACCAACTTATATAAAACAGCAAGTCTGGGCTGGGGCCAAACCCGGACTGGACAGTTGGATGAAGCAGTTCTTGGAAATGGCCCAAATTCTGGGAGATCCAGGGGTCTTCGATCTTTTTGAATCGACAGCTTGAATAATCTAGTGGAAAATTCTGCAGGTTTTTTTTTTTTTTTTTTGACCCTTTGATTTTAGGTTAGGACTAGTTTAAGAATGATGTTTTCAATGCGTGTCATCTTTTTTCTGTCCCTCCCTACAGAGGAGATGGGTAAATAGAAAAAAGGCTTTAGGTCACTATGCTGGCATCACCCCCAAATATTGATAGCACCAAGTTGGTTATTCTGCCCAGGAGGGCAGAGCAGGAGAAGGCAGAACCATTTGGTGATTTAATATCTTCCAATGGTGAGCACCAAGAGACCATTCACAAAACATCCACTGTCTTGTCCTTAATATCCTTTCTGGCCTTTTTCATTTTCCTTTTGGAGGGTATTTCCTTTTGATTTTTAACTATTCTGATGTTCGTTCTCAGTCAGCTCCCAAACCACCCTCACAAAAGTTGAATTCTCTCAAAAAATAATACTTATTTATCTATTTTTGTTAACAAAATATTCAGCTTATTGTTTAATTTGCTTTTGGGAGTAAAAGATCATTTTTCTTTCCTTGGAGAAATTACAACGATGACAACAACAACAAGAGAATCAGATGTTTCTTTCTGACTTAGAGGAGCATTATTAGGCATGGGTTGAATTATTAGAAAAGCATCTTCTTATAACCAGCCTCCAACACCTTTGAATGACTATTAGGAGATGTAAAGAGAATTTGCAGTTATACCTAAAGATAGAGATTCAAGGAGGACGTTGGTAATTACTTATATATGTTTCAAATTGAAATTTTCTAATTCTTGGGCAAAAGACCATCAGTGTTCCAGGATACATCATAGTGTAGGTGAGATTGGCCCTACACCAGGTCTATGTGGACCCGACTTGTCTAAGCCAATCTCCTTGCTATAGTGGCTTATTTAGGTAATTCAAACCTAATCTAAGCCAACAGGTGACTGGCATTCTCAGTTTGATTGACAGTTAAGAAAGCAAGGGTTTGGCTGGGCGCCATGGCTCATGCTTGTAAGCCTAGCACTCTGGGAGGCCGAGGCAGGAAGATTGTTTGAGCTTAGGAGTTCGAGACCCGCCTGAGCAAGAGCGTAGACCCCATTTCTACTAAAAATAGAAAGAAATTAGCTGGACAACTAAAAACATATAGAAAAAATTAGTCAGGCATGGTGGCGCATGCCTGTAGTTCCAGCTACTCAGGAGGCTGAGGCAGGAGGATTGCTTGAGCCCAAGAGGTGGAGGTTGCTGTGAGCTAGGCTGACGCCACAGCACCCTACCCTGGGCAACAGAGTGAGACTCTGTCTCAAAAAAAAGAAAGAAAGAAAGTAAGGATTTCTCCCTTTCCTTTTTCCTGCTCTAATACATGAGCATACAATCTCATGAACTGCTAGCAAGTTCACTAGCATGAGGGAAGACCGCCCGAGAACTAAGCTAACAGGTACAAGAGCACAGAGCCAAGAAAATTGCAACCTTGATCCAACTCTCCCTGAAAGTCGATGTGTTTGTACTTTGAAACTTATTGAACAAATAATCCCTTTCAGTGCTTACAACTGGGGTGGGTTACTTGTAGCTGAGAGCTTCATGATACATTTAATTAATCTACACACATTTCATAGTCTAGTGTAGTGGTTACTTTACAAATTAGATACATTTTTATCAATATGTGCACATTAGCTTTGCTATGTCCTCACATTTAGTATGATACACATCGTTTCATTCCTCAGTGTATGTATTCTTTAGCCCCTAACAATTATGATGAGAAAGTATTATATATTTTTTTGGTTTGACAAAGTATAAGGAGATCTCCTTTTGCCATTCTGTCCACTCATTTTCCCTGATGCGAAGAAGGTCACTACTGTAAAATTTGGGATTAGGGTGTGTAGCCAAGCATCTAATCCATGGTTACTTGCACATTAGCTCTTTCGATTTCCACGCCCACTTCAAACGCCATCTCCTCCCCAAGGCCTTCTCTACCACTGGACAAATTGAATCCTGATTCTTGATCTCACCTCCCAAATGGTAAGCTCTTTAAAAGCAAGGAGGATATCAGTGTTCATCTTTGCGTGCCCAGCACCAGGAGTGTTTGGGCACATGGTAAGCACCCAATAAGCGCTGTTATCTCTCCTTGCCTGCTTGGTATTCCGTGATTACATGCGATTGTACACACAGCCAGGATTCCAGAATCTTCCTTAAACAGAGCGGCAGAGGCAGCATTTACCCAGGGAGGGTCCCAGCTTCCCTCAAGGACACCAAAGTAGAGACACACTTGGGATCCCAGCACCCCTTCCTGCGGTATTGTCTGTCATGTCCTTTGTGACTCAGCTGGGGGGTGGTAATTTTGCCCCCTGGGGGCATTTGGCAATGTCTAGAGACATTTTGGTTGTCACATCTAGGGGGAGGGGATGTTCCTGGCATCCAGTGGGTAGACACCAGGGACTCTGCTAGGCATCCAACAATGCACAGGACAGCCCCACACAGAAAAGACTGATCCAGCCCAAATGCCCATAAACAGTGCCAAGGCTGAAAGACCCTGCATTGGAAATCTTTCTCCTCGATTTGAACATGAGCCCACAAATGCAGGCACTTATCTGTCTCATTCATTGCTTTGTCCTTGGTGCTAGGCACAGTTCTTGAGGTAACTATTCCCAGTTTTTGTCTAACCACCATCCATCCCTACTGTGGGCCACCTTGGCAAGGTTGCCCTGCCTTGCCCTCCTGTTTTTGCAATTTGGCTGAGTTAATCATGGAAATCACCCATTCCCCCCTTTTTATGTTAAAGTAGGTAGTTTAGCTTATTTTGCTTTTTAAGGCATAAGATCACCTTGGGACTGAGGTTAAGAATGATATGGTCAGGTCCAGGCTGTGTAAATCTGCTCCCTTACAGCCACACTGGGAAGGAGATGACACAGCACAGACTCTGGCCCCTGCAAGTTTAATTTTATGAGACTCCAGGGCATCTGGACTGTTTTCCAACAAGAACAATCCAGATAACCTGTGTGTGTGCTGTGTGTGCACGTGTGTGTGTTTACACATCTGATAATTTAAGGTGAAACAAAAACTCAAGGACTTTCCCTTTTCTTTCCCTTTTTGTTGGTATTTGCATGTGTGTGTGAGAGAGTGTGTGTGTTAGTATGGGCACAAGATACCAGCTTGGCCAATTAAACTCTTGCTCCATGGAATTTGAATTCTGACTCGAAGATGAATTCAACCCAAAGATGGAAAAATGGTCAGGGTGGATCCACTATACGACAGAGGGTGCTCCTGTCCAGGTGGTCCATGGCGGGGAATGAATGCCAGGGACATCCCCACGCCCAGGTGTGACAACCAAAATGTCTCTAGACACTGCCAAATTCCTCCCAACAAATTCCTTGTTTTAACTCAAGTTTGCCAAAGATAATATTTGTTGCTCGCAAAGACCCCACTGTCAGATAAATGGTGCTCAATATACACTCTGAACCAAAGAACGAACTTGCACTAGCTCGAACAGAATGTCTTCTCCACACGTCAGAGTAGAACAAGCTCAAACTCTTGGTGGCATTGTTTGGCGTTCAGTAGAAGGGAGATATTATTATTTATATGTTCATAGACAAAAGGGCAGAACATCAAGTTATGCTAATAAGAACACCCTGTTTCTGGAAACCAAAAATTTCCCTTCGAAGCCAAAGTCCCCTCCATCCAGACGTACAATTTCCCACAGAGCTGTGCTATATGCAAGAGTCTACCTTGGAAATGCTGTCTAGAAACATGTCATCCCCAGTGACCTGGCTGTACCTGTCTAGGGCATGTGTGCAGTGCACACAGTCTATTGTGTCAATAATCTGCATAGTGAAGATCCCCCCCCTGTGCTCGTGGAGACAGTAGATGGGGCTGGTACAGTCTACTGGGTCAAAAATCTGCTTTAAATAGTCTATATACACAGTCGGTTGAGTAAATAACAGCATTTTCAAAAAGTCCCTAAATATATAATAACATGATAAATCACATCAGCTCTTAAAGATGCAGCCTCACTACCGCTGATCAGGAAAATGATGTGCGCTTTAACAAGCCACTTACAAATGATCTCATCTTCGCCAGCCATGGGCATTATCTTTCCTTCAGCTATATTTTTCATATGTACAGGAAAGACACCCAAATACACACACACACACACACACACACACACACACACGGGCGTATGCATATACTCAATATCATTTTTGCACAGATAAACTGGGTCTGGGCCTGCCGTCCAGCTGTAGGGAGTGAAACAGCAGGAAACAACGTTCTTCTCTGTTCGGTTTGGAGGCTTCTACCATCACTCGGCTGTGCGTGATCCAGAGAGTTAAGCTGAGCTCCAAACACACAAAAACAGGTCTGTTTGAATCAATTAGAGGCATTGATTTTGAGAGCTCCACCTGACCTCATTCTGCTGCGAAGACAACATAGTCTGTACCACTTCATCAGAGCCCCGTTTGCTTACAGACGGCTTCCATGTGTGCGATGTCCCAATAGCTGTCCCTTAGTCACCGCTTCACGTGGGTTGTTTCAGTTTAGCCACACAACACTCCAGTGGTGGGGGTGATATTATTACTAGTTCCATTTTTGAAGACGAAGGACTATAGGCTTCCAGAGGTTAAACAACTGTCCTAAGGCCACATAGCCAGAAATTGGGAGACGCCAGCTTCGAAGTGAGCTCATTAGGACTCCGGAGCCAGCGCCTCTCCCGGCCGCGAGCTCCAGCTCGTGAACTCAGCACACGCCAGTTTCCAACTGCGCCCCGCCCGGTTGGTGCCACTGTGGACGGCACAGGTGTGCGTGTTTCTGCTCAAATGCAATGCCTGCTCCTAAGCAAACCTTGCATTTCGCAAAGCTTTGTCTCAAAATTATAGCACTTATGGGAAAAATAAGGTTAGGATAGACCACTTAAAAAGTAAGCAACTAAGCATGCAGGGAATAACCAAGCAATAACAAACATAATAAAAATACTGGTTCAGTTGAAAACACGTGTTCAATTCATAATAAATAAAGGAATGCCACAGCAAATAAAAGACTTCACCTTGTAAATAAAGAAGCAACTGCAGTTGGGTAGAAAGGAGTTTAAGGAGGTAGTGAAATTAGGGAATGACAGGTCAACATTTTTAAAAACCAGGGGGAGGTGACAATAAGACTTCCGAGGCAGACTTATGTGGTCAGCTGGAGCCAAGAGGAAGACAGGCCTTTGAGCAACTGATGGTTCTCTAGAGCTCGCTACATTCAGCTGTGTTGGTGAACTTTGTATTTGGCCACTGTTGCTCGGTGCTAAACAATAACGTGTTGGGAAAAATCACAGTGAGTCAATGTGGCGTTCTCATTATGTTCATATCATTGACTGACTTTCCAATCAGGAACGAACTAATCTGCTTTATAGGAATATGAGCTGTAACAGAACAGACTTTATTTTATCTTTCATCCTTAAAGACCTTTCATGTTCAACTAACTTGGTTGCTAAATCCTGGGCACCTCACCAATAAAATCTTAACTTTGAATTAATTACTCAGGCAAACCAACTTAAAATAAAGCTTGTAATTCTAAATAGCTTCCAGATGACAGAATTTGCATTTTATGAAATCTCTTTCTTGGTATTGGGGTGGGGATATGAAGGAAGAGCTTCCCTTCTGATATTTCTGAAGCACCTACTGTGAGCCTGGTATGGTTTACAATCTAATAAATATGTATGATTAATTCGATAAAAGGTGCATTTTATTTTGGAAATAATCCCGTGGAGTGGGCATTTTAATCTTTATTTTAGAGGTGAGGGCTAACAGAGGGGACGCACGTGACTCTCTGGTAGACGCTGGCAGAGGTGGGGCGTGAAACCAAGCCCACAGGTCCACGGCCCAAGCCTTTCCCACTTCAACATTCTGCAATGACACAGCAGGTTATGAAGTGCAGTCCTTGGGGGCTGCAAGTAAAAAATGGTCCCAGCTGGGCTTTTCCTCTCACACCACCTTGAATCCTCCAGGAATCTGTTCCATCCTTGCTACTTACCGTCACTTCTTAACACTCTTAGCAGTGGGAATAAAGATACGCCAGATCATGTCACCTCCCTGCTCAAAACCTCCAAAGGGACATTCCCCCCACTCCAAGGGAACGCCAACGTTCTCCCAGTGGCCCTCGGGTTTCCCTGTGTGTTGGTTCTCCACTGGCTCTCTCACCCTTTCTCCGACTCCTGGGTTTTCTGCTCCAGCCGTTCTGACGTCGTTGCTATTTCTCCAACAACCCAGAAACTCTCCCATTTTAGGCCTCTGGACTGGCCCGTTCCCTCTGTGCTTTGCCCTAATAACATCCTTCACCTCTTTGCTTAAATATCCCTTCCTAACAAAGCTCACTCCCATCACCCTGTTTGAAATCGCAACCTGCCTCCCCGCGGTCTCAGGACTGTCCATTCCCTTTTTCTGTTCTCTTTTTCTTTGGCCTTTGCACTTACCAACTTCTACCTTACTCTAGAATTGACTTCTGTACTACGTCTGTTGTTAATGGTGATCGTTCTTTGTTTGCAAGCTCCATAGAGCAGGGGTCTTCGCCTATGAGGCTTGATGCTGTGTGTAAGCACCTATGTGCACGGCACATAGTAGGTACTCAAAAAATTTTGTTGAATAACTCAATGGATATTTAAAGAACCTTTGACATTTTTTAACTCCATAAAGTGAGCAAGACTTATCCACCCACCAGAATCTTTCTGGGTTGGTTGTTTGTACCTGCATTCTATTCTCTGATAAAAAGTAGGTCCCGGGAAGTGGTCTTGCTTCTCAGACTTCCAACAGTGTGCTAGCCTTTTTTGCAAAACCGATGCAGTTCTATATATAGAAGTAAATTTAAGAGCAGAAACACAGAAATGCTTCCAGTAAACGCACAGATGTCTTCTAATCAGAAAACTTCTTAATGGGCCCATGCTTTCAGCCAGGGTGGTCTACAACCATGCAGGCTCTGGGCTATAAATGACATATGACCAGGGTTATCAAATGTTTCCTAAAGTTACTTAATCCGGCCATTTAAAAACTTTCTAATTGCTTGCAAGAAAATTCCAAACATGTTCATTTATTACAATATATCATTCTATGTCACTGGTCCTATAATACTGCAGTCCCTGATTCCAGGATATAGGGAGTCTATGACATAAGCTCTTTCTTTGTTAGTATTAAAACTCCTTGATAATGTCTAGATTTACACTGAAGAATCTCTTTACGGTTGGGAGTCTTTCCCCTCGCCCCTCTCTCTAATGGAGCAAGAACCAAGTCTGCCCCTTTGAACAAGTCGGACAATTTGTTGTTGTTTGACATGAGGAAGATCCTGGCTCTCTCTATCCCTTACCAGCTGTGTCCTCTTTACACAAGTTACTTGAGCCCTCTGAGTCTCAGTTTCCTCATCTGTAAAATGGGGATAATTTTAGTACCAACCCTGTATGGCCACTGAGAAGAGTTAATGAGCAAATGCTACTGTTCTCTTTCTTTAATTCTTTTTCTGCCTTCCTAATCAACGTCCCAGTCTTAGTGTAACGGTCCCGCCCTTGGAGGATCTTTCCTGGGCTTCTGACTAGGTCAGGATCTCCTCTTCCACAGTCTCATGGCTTTTCTGCTGGTGGCTCCCATGGAAATCGCAATCCGACAATTACACGTGTAATGGCTCAGTCCTTGACTCCGCCGTTTAGACTGCACGAGGGCAGGCACTTTGTGTCTTTTGCTGTATCTTCAGCATTTTTTTTCAGAGCCCGGAGCGTAGTGTGCACATTACAAACAGCATCTCATCGATTCTAAGACCTCCCTTTTATATTTTAACATCGCAGAAATTAGGGTGAACCTTACAATCAATGGTGTCTTAAAATGGCTGCCAGGGGGCAGGCGGAAGCTATTTCAGGAAGGCCTTAGCCAATTTATTTTGCTTATCTTTTCCTTTTTATATAAACACAAGAGTGTTCAATTGTAAAGATCTTTTTTTTAAATAAGTCTAAAGGAGTCTTTCAGGAAGCATAAAATAGAAATTCTAAGTGATAGCAGGAGGGCAGTGTGTCATGCTTTAATTATAAAATTATAAGCATTTTTCTTTCTTAGTGCTGCGAACTGTAAGTAGTGCGTCTTATGGAACGGCCTCTTAGCTTAGATGAGATACGGTAACTGTGGAATGGGTGCAAAAGGGAAACGTGTTGCACACAGTGCTTGGCACAGAGAACGTGCTCTATAAGTGATCGTGCTATTATTAATGATTATGATTATGCAGACTATCTGGCTAATTCAGTATTTAAAACCACACCAGCATTCTCACTTAACGATTCGGGTTTCCCTGCTATACCATTTAAGGTTTGTGCAGAAATGTTCTGCCGAGAAATCTCTAGGTTGGGCAACATCAGCTCCCACTGGAAGCATGACGCAAGTCACAGTGACTATCCTGCCTGCTCCCGCCACTGTGAGCTTCCTAGAGCCCAGGCTTGCCCCTCTGGGTGCCCCTGTTGCCTCAGAGGCCAGAAGATGGTAGGCTCAATACGTGTTAGAAGGCTGAATGAAAAAAAAAATAAATGTATGAATTACTGGGAGAGAGAGGCATTGCTCACAACCAGCCGATAGTGACTGTTTTGCATGGCCTGCAGGACCAGGTCTCAAGGAGTCCCTGCAAATGGTTAAAAAACTCAGGACCATTCAACAGGGCTTTCAGTTTCTAAGTCCGTTTAAGTCTCAGCTGGCAGGGAAGTGACACATAGGGAGCACGTGTCCCTCTATATTTTCCTGTAGAGGCTGATGGTCACAATAGGGAGGGACAATGCTATCTGCAAGGTTCTCTTCTTGTGGGTTGGGCCATTTCTTACAACCCAAAAAGGGAGACTTCTGCCAGGCACATAGCAAATGCTCAATGAATATGTGTTGAATGACTCAGGACGAGTGTCAAGATCATTGCCAAGATCGCGACTACTGACAGATGAACCCTTCACCTGTGTGTTCTGCCTTGCTTCTAGCTCCTCTAGAGACTCCCCTGGGTGTCCGCCCCAGTGTTTCATTCCTCTCCAAGGCCTGGGTTTAGTGGCTTCCAGGACCATCGCCTGGGATGGCCACCTCGATGGACCAGCATTGACTTTGTAGACAACCCAAGAAGAACAGCTCTTCAATAGTCCAATTCATCTATTGCCAGTTGAAGTCAAATCACTTTACAGCAGATTCTTTCTGAAGGGGTGCGTGGATTGATTTACAAGTGCAGCTAGTTAGAAAGACATTCGATGATTTGTATATGCGGGATGTCAAGAATGCCCTATATTCTCCCTCCCGTCACAATATGAATGATATCCTCTCAACTGTTTATTCCGTTTGTTTTAGCCAAACATAAATAGACTGCAGACATGTCTGGGGCTGAAGGCACTTGCAGAAAATAAGCTTCTTCAACTCCAGATACACTGACAGTGGAGACAAAGTGAAGTTGCTGCTGCTTTGACAAATACCCTCCTTCTCTCAAGAAAGCAGAGCAGACAGAAAGTCCAGATTCCCCATGCTTGAAGGAGACGTGTGGTTAAGGACTTTTAAAGCCGCTTTTTACTTTGCTTCTCTATGGCTAATTTAATTTTAATCTCCGTGGCTGTTTTTAGGAACGTGAAAATATTTTTTTCTTTTCTCTTATTGATTTTGTTCTTTGTCATTTAGCCAGCATCAGTTTTCTCCCCCTTTAGCCTGTTGTTGGGACACAAGGCACCGCATTTGCCTTCTGCTGGCTTCTCTGTGCATGTGGGGGCATCATTCATGTGCCTTGTGCCACCCACAGAGGAAGAGAGCACGACCTTCCAGCTGTGACCCGGACCCACTAGTGTCTGCCCCCAGACAGACAAACCACAATCCGGCGGCTGCTTTGCTGATGCGGATGGACAATTTAGGGGGAAGGGAAAGGGAGGAAAGAGGGAAAAGAAGGAAAAATAAAGGCACTATCCCTCAAAGAATAAATTATGTGATCTACTTTGGGAAAAATAATCCAATCACAATTCTGAATTTTCTATAATGTCCACTCATTTCAATTACGGTTGTTTTGAATGTGGGATTTGCTTGTGTCTACTTTCAGCACAGCATGGAGAGGTATCATCAGTAAATAAATATATGAAAAAAGCAAACGAATGGCTGACGTGAATTCCTTGAGGGGTGACACTGGAACAGGCGGGAGGACAGAACGAGAGAGACCGGGATTTGAATGCTGGCTTTCTTTCTGGCTCTGCTCTGTTGGCCACACTGCCTTCTCTTTCCAGATTGTCAGGTTGGAAGGCGGGGAAGAGAGAGCTGCTTCCAAAGAGGGAGGGTGATGGAGTGAAGAGGCTTCTAGCCCCTTCCTTAAATAACTAGCCATTGAAAAGCTGAGCACCTACTGTGTGTACCGGGCCGGGTACCAGAAATACCGCAGCAGCAAGACATAGGCGTTCTAGCCTCGTGGAGATTAGAACTTTGCAGGTGAGGCCAACATTCAATTCATTAAATCCAATCACACAATTTACTAATTAGGTGCATGATAAACCATGTCTTTGAAAGTGTTATAACGGAGGGTCAGTTGTGGATATAAACACATATTGCTGTCTTTGATCATTTTAAGCACGAAGCCAACAGTGAGGTGGTGCTACTGGAATTTCTGTTTGGAAAATTGTGCTAAGTGATCCAGGGCAAAGGTGACTTACTGGGTTAGCTGTGCCTCTGTGGGGTGGGGCTGTTGGGAGGAAAAATTGATCGAAGTTCCTTTGGGGATCGTTCATTATGATTTACTGAGCTTTCATAGACAAACGATGCTTCACAAACCAATGTCACCCAGCCCGGGGTCAAACCCTTGCCGCTAGTTTCTGAAGGTTTCAGGTTTCAAGACAATATGCTCCCGCTCTGTTTCCTGTTCCCAGAAGAGAATTCTGAAAAAGCAAAGGGGCAAATAGTGTCTGGACTCCCGAGTACAGGTCAAAAATGTTCTAGATAATCAATCTGAAGAAGGAGCCTGTGAGATGCTTATCTGGAGAATTCCCCATTGACATACTGCCTGTTGAAGCGGGATGCTTGTACCTTTTCTATTACAGTGGAGGCAAACTTCGCGTCTTTAGAGTTCTGTTTCTCCACCAGGAGGAGTGGGTGGTGATTTTATGCCTCCAGTGGACATGTGGCAATCTGGGGACACCTTGGCTGTCACAGCTGGGGAGGGGGTGCTACTGGCATCTAACACAGAGGCAGGGATGCAGCTAAACACCCTGACTACAATGCACAGGACAGCTCACAACAAACAATTACCAAATCCAAAATGTCAAAGTGCTGAGACTGAGAAACCGCGCTTTAGAAACTATTTCACTGCTTATAAGGTCCTAAAAGACTGTTATGTCATTAAAAAAATAATAATAAACCTTAGCAGTTATGATTTACAACCTGAACAGAAAACACAGAGATAAATATGAGCTCTAGTTCTGAATTTTGCGAAGTTCAGTGCAAATAGTTTTAGCTGGAAAACAGTCAATTTGAGATGATTTTTCTTATTCATGGTGCCTTTTCGTGGATGTTGGAAGGAAGGGTCTCCCAAGTGTCAAACTTCACAAAACCAGGTTGAATGTTTTACATCCTCCTCCCATTGTGTGTGTGTGTGTGTTTGTGTGTGTATGTGTGTGTATGTGTTGGGGGGAGTGTCCATCTCTGTATTAAAATATCTAAAGTCATGTGAGCAACTAACGAGAATCAAAAGAAAAAAAACAAAAAACCACCACTTGAAATTATACAGATCAGCAGTTTGCTAGGTACTTGGGACCATTTGATACGAACTTTGTTTTTATAAAGTATACTGTGATAAAGCTTTGAAACTTCAGTTTGTTAAAAATAAGAAGGAAAAAAAAAAAGAAAGAAAGAAAGAAAGAAAAATGAGGAGAAAATACTGTAACAGCCTCACTGCCTTTGAAGTCAGTACTGATATAGCTCTGAACAGATCCATTCAAGTTCAACTAACATCAGACAAATGTTTAGTGTATCAGAGGAAGCCACAAAAGCAAGGATTTCATCAATATTTCACAACAGCCTCAGGGAAACTGTAGATTGCAATGCTGTAGGGCAGCTAATGGAATTACACACAAGGGTTTTGTACATTTAAAATAAGCAGCTACTAAAAAAAAATTACCCTTCAGTTTGATAGAAACTGTATAAAACTGCAGACAGGAAACAATTAAATCTCTCCCAACATTTATCCACGTCACTCTGATAGGTCATTTAATAACAGGTATTTGTGTGTGTGTGTGTGTGTGTGTGTGTTCCCCCCTCCCCACGGAAGGCAATAATAAAGATTAACATTTATGAAAAGAAACAGAAAATATAGCACAGCCAAATGAATAATTAAAGACAGTTTTGAAGAACGCTTGCCATTGTGTGCCTGTGAAGTCTTATCCACAGTCACAAAATATGTTTATATAAAATATAATTATAAATAGACAGAGGCTGCAAGGGAGACCCACTGACCCTTGTTTGTTTTGATGTTAAAAAATAACTTTGAAGTACTTCCTAGGAATGTGCGGGTTGCCCGGATCTCATACATATATTATTATCTGGTGAGGCTCGGGACCCTGAGCCACTGGCTTGCTTTCTTGGAAGGTTTACAGAAGTAGGCCCGGAGCTTGCAAAATGCTATTCAATTAGCCTGTGTGAGATCAGTGTTTTCTCCCCTGAAGTCCTTTGTGGGAGTAAAAAATTCTGCATATGAAAGCAAATTGCATTTTCTAAACTGATACTTCTGTGACCACGAAAAAACTCACCTGACTTTTCCAACTCTTGGAACTTCAATTCCCTGAGCAATGACCCTACTATTTATTGACATCACACATGAGGAGGAGTTTTCAGACGCTGCTAGATCTAGATCTCAAGAGGGGGATTTTGCCTCTCAGGGGACATTTGGCAATATCTGGAGCATTTGTGTCTCTGATTGGGTGAGGTGGGAATGGGGGGGTTCATAGGGATTTGGGACGCTGCTAAACACCCTACACGCACAGGACACACACAGCCAAGAATCACCTGGCCCCAAATGGCAATACTGCCGAGGCTTAGAAATCCTGTTCTCCATAAGCCACTGGAACACCTGAGCTTTATTAGAATAATAAAAGTACCTTTGTTCATAAGGGATCCAAACTTCCCAACCATTCACTGGTTTCCCATGTCTATTAAAGCGCTTCTAAGTGAAACTTACAATGCTAAGTCCTTTGGAGAATAATGATTTGACATGGTTACTGACCACAGACTATTCTAATTAAGAGGAGAGATTTATATACATGTGTATATATACATGTGTATATACTTATATATATATAAATCATGCACATGCACATACACTTCATAACAATAGCCGCTGTTTACTGAGTACACAGCTTGCTAGAGGTCCTTTGCATACCATATTTCATTTTACCTCTACAACTGTGCAGAGAAAATATTTTATTGTACCTTTTGTACAGATAAGGGGACATTAACCAAGATCACTGTCGGAATATGGCAAGGCCAAGACCAAACCCTAGGCCTATTCCCAAAGATCCCAAGGCCACTGGGCTTAATTGTAGCCCAGCTAGGAGTGTGCATGTGTATGCATTATACATGTGTGTGTTAAATTTAGCCTGTGGGACATCTACCTTAAACTCCTGGTTTACATTCTTTTCATGATTGTATGTGTGTGTGTACATACACTATCATATATGTGTATATTTATTCCTTATGTCATGTATTCTTTATTACATATTACAATTTTATAGTATTACATATACTTTGATATAAATGGAATTCTATCCTAAGTACTGCCATGGTGGAATTTTTCACTTATTTTCCAGACGATATAAAGTTGAGTGTATTTAAACCTATTCCCTCTTCCTCTTTTACAATTTAGAGTTGCAATATTATTGGTGTAGCAACCAGGCCACTTTGCCATTTGTTAGGAATTTCTTCAGCAGCACTTGTGATGCCATGGAAAAGAGACTTGCATTTGGAATTTGGACAAATGGGCTGAAGTCTCAGTTCTGCCAATTAATAAGCTGTGCAATTTAATAAAACAAAAACTGCTTGGTTTCTCTGAGTTTCAGTTTAACTACAAAGCTTACAACTAGTTGCCCTAGTGGTATGGTAAAGATTTGAATGATTAAATGACATAATATCTAATAAAATGCTTTGCAGACTCTGCGGTGTTCAGTCAGTGTACAGTCTGCACTCCCTTCTTCTAGCACTTACGGTGAGTTCACCTGGGAGGCACTGGCCTTCCCATCTCCGCTAACCTTTGTCGGGATTCAGTTCTCTCCGTTAATGGTCGATCAATCAATCACTCAATATTTATCGAGAGCCTACTATGTACAAGACCCAGGGGGCCTGTGATGGAACAATTAGCAAGCCTATTTTGACTTAACCTCTGGCGGGTTTTTTCATCATGGAATGGTCCCTGAGCATGGGAGGAAGTGAGTGGGAGGAGAAAGAAGACTGGATCTGCCTACAGTTGTCTCTCTCCTTCCAAAAGTCGATAGAAGAAGATGATTTAAGACAAGGATTGGCAACCTATGGCCCACAGGCCAAATCTGACCTACCGCCTGTTATCGTTAATAAAATCTCATTGGAACGTAGCCATACCTATTCATTTACTCATGGCTGCTTTTGTGCTACAAGGGCAGAGTTGAGTAGTCGCAACAGAAACCATATGGTTTGCAAAGCCAATAATATATACTCTCTGGCCCTTTACAGAAAAAGCTTGACGACCCTGCTTAAGCAATCACATGAATAATTAATCATCTCCAATCCTTGTGGAAC